CCTTCCTTCTAGGAACCCAGAGGCCCCTTCCTCCCTACTTTTGGGACTTCTGAGTAAGAGAGGGGACACTTGCAGCTTCAAAGGAGAATTAGCCAAAATATGTCCATAGGTATAGGATGGGCAACAACCCAGTCTTGCTGTTGACCCTTCCCACAGAATCTCCAGAAACTCCGTAGCTTCTGACATTTTGTGCCCCGGGACTTGGTTGGCTTAATTGCTGAGCAAGGCAAACTCATCTACTAGAATCCACAAAAGAGACATTTTGTTAATAGAAAAATATTAGTCTCTAGCAGTCTTCTCACATATTCAACGTTTGCTAATGTCTCTGGCACTGTCCAAGGCCCTGAAAATAAAGAGATGAAGAGAACTGGCCCTCCATAGTAGAGGCATTTATTCACACATTTAGTCATTCAGCATTGAGGTGCCTGAGATCTGATGAGCACTGGGTATGGGGTGGCCAATGGGGAGACATGGCCCAGCCTCCAGGAGCTTAGAATCTAAGTGTTTAACAAAGCTCTGTGCAACAGGCAAACCTCTGTGGAAACAAATGCCAGGTTCTTCTCAGAGTGGAAAATTTCTGACCGAGATTTGAAAGGAATTGTCATGGGTGGGTGGAAATTCAATTGTAAGACTTTCGATTTTTAATGATTAAGGATTCTAAATTCAAACTCCATAATTTATAAAATAAGTTGACTTCTTGTTGTGTGGCTTAACTTGGACATGCAGTGCTGTCTCACTGGATTTGGAGCTTAGACCGTCACCGTGTAATCATCAGAGGGCGGATCTCACTGGATCCTGATTCAGATAGGAGAATATTAGTTATAAGTGAAGCTAGCATCTTCCAACGTTCCAGAACCCAGCTTTTGCTTTTATAATGCAATTCTTAAATCTTAAATAAGAAACAGATTCTCCTAGAAGGTGATGTCTTAGAGTTGGCTTGAAACCCTGGTCTTAATTAAAAAGACTTTTATTCAGATTTACTGCACTCCTTATTCATACAGTATCTTCTTTGTGATAGGTACCAGGAATCCAAAGGTAAATATTACCTGGCCTTGGGCCTAGGTGTCCACTGATGTGATTTATTTATAAATGTACAATTACAATTCATCATCTACGCCAAAAAATTAATTTAAACAGAGTAGTAGAGTTGAGAATAGTTCATGGAGGAAATGGCACTTGAGCTGGGTTTTGAAAAGGAATTGGCCAGGTGGAGAAATAAGGGCGAGACTTTCCAGGAGGAGGACACAGCATGTCAAAAGGCCCAGGGGCCTCTCCATGTGTGAAAGAGCATTCTTTAACTGGGAACCAGTGAATTGGGAGCCTAGGATACCCGGGGACAGGGAGAAGAAAATGGGTTGGAGAACCAGAGGTTAATGCTATTAAGATGGATTGTAGCCTAGAAGGTATAGGTGCCTGAAAAAAGCAGCCTCTTCTACTGTGCACTACCCGAATGAGTAAATTTGTTTGCCTTTTAAAACAGAAACTCAGATTCACAGATATATAGGTGAGCAGCAATGCACTGTAGCTATCAAATCTACTATTATTTCTGGGGCCATATTTAACACCCACACATAGGCCAAATTCCATCCTGTGTCTTTCATCAACATACTTTGTCCTCCAGATGATCTGGATAGATGGAGAACCAATGTATTTAAGGGGATGCTGGGTAAAATGTCCAGATACGTTAAGTTGCCCTAAAACCTGAACCAATGCTGTGCACTGAAAATATGTTGCATAAGATTCTGTTCTTGTATTGCCAGTCTATCTTTTGACTCATGGAAGAAAATGCATTCATACACTTTCTACACCCAGGTGCTGTTTCTCTGAACATCCTTGACCCAGTGTGCCTTGTCACTGATCCCAGGGCCAGAGGATTGAGTTCAAAGTCAGAGACCTGACGATATAGAGAGACCTGAGGATATAGAAGGATGATCCCCCCCCTTCCCTAGAACTCAGCCCATCCAGAACCTTCCTCCACATGGCAGGCTGGCAGGTGTGTGTCAGCAAAACGGGAGGAGATAAACTGCTCCTGGGTGTGATTTTTCACTGAATTAAATCCAGAGGGAATGAAAGGCCTTCGGAAGTGAGCAGCAAAGCCCCAGAGCATTAGATATCTGTGTGATTGTTGTGGTCTGTGGCTGGAAGCCCCTGAGGAGTACACTGCCCCAGTTTTGTGACAGCCTTCTCAGCCACCACCTGGCGCCTTTCTCCCTCCCAGGCAGTTTGGACAGGTGGCATCTTCCAGAGTGTTGGCCTGAGAGGCGCCATCGCTCCCAGCTCGGCATCCTCTCTGCTCCAAGTGCTACAGAGCTGACCTCCACCAATGATTCAATGACAGCAAGCTGAAGACGTCAATAAAACCCATTATAAGTGATAGCAGCCTTTCACACAGGCCTGTGGTTCAGAGAATTAATTCCTCCCACCCTCCCAGGAAGCCTCAGTGAAATTAAAGTGGGGATTGACATTCTCACGAATTTCCCATTTCCTGCCTGTGTTTATCAGCAATCTAGGTCAGGACAGCTCTGATCATTTACATCCTAAGTAAGGCATACAAGGGCAAAGCCCAAAATCAGCACACCCCTTTATTTCTCTTCCTTCTCCATCCTTCTGCAGAGGAGAAAGTGTTACAGGGTCACAGCGCTGACCTTGCCAATACCCTGGTCTCAGGAGACTTCAGCACCTTGTCAGGAGCTCACAGTCTGGGCCAGCCATGGTGATGTTCAAACCAACTGCTGCCACCAGGGGTGATTGGCCATGCGATTTCCCTGAGCGAAGTGGCAGTTGTCATCCAGGCTCAGCCAGAAAGATTTTGATGAGTTCTGCCTTGTCCTGTTTACCACGAAAAGTCCCCTGGTGCTGCTGTGATATCCAGACTGGTTGTTCAAAAGCAAAGCCCATCTTCTCCTTTCTCTCAAGAATGAGTCAGAGTTTTTCTAATGAATGACTCTCCGATGAGTAAAGAAATAGTTGCTTATACAACATTCCTTATCCAACAATAATTTTTGTGAATTTTTGAGATTAGAGTTCAAGGTTTTATTGGAAAAAAAATATTTTGAAGAGAAAAGATTTATAATCCCAGAACCTTAACACAATTTTCATTTCACATACTGGTCTCTAGTAGTCTGTCTACTTTGTCCATAATTATGATCTGTGTGTGCATAGTGTTCATTTCTCCTGCTTTTCACTTAATATCAGGTGTTCATAATTATCTTACTGAATGACTGACCATATATATTTCTTTCAATTGCTAATTTGTGATTTCCTTAGTACCCAAAGAAGAGAGAGATAGTTACTTTGTCATAATGTTCTTACAGATAATAATATGTAACTTGCTTGCTTTTGAATATTCTTTCTGGAATAACCCCAGGAGGGGGATTCCCTGGTTCTTGATGTGTATTGCTTTATTTTTTTAAGGATAATATCAATTGATGCTACTACTAGTAAAGCTATGATGATTTAATTGTAAATTAAAAGACCTGTGAGATATGGTTATGGAAACAGGTGCCGAACTTAATGGAAAATGGGATTTGTTTGTTATTTGTTTGGGTGGAGCTGCTTTACATGTCATCTTCACTGGGCAGAGACCTGCATGGAATCCTAAGGAATAAAAAGAACAAAAAAAAAAAATAATGGAGGAGTGTTTTTTCAGAATAGCTTCCATGCCACAACATCCTTCTTTCCTTCTATTTCTGGTGGAGTGAGGGAAGCCATTCGAGTGTGAGATTCTGGAAGGTCTGGCCTCAGAACTAAAGCTGCTTCCTCTTGATGAGGGAACAGCTGGAGGTGAGCAATGGCACACAGGAACTCCACGAGAACCAGAAATAGCTTCTTGGTGGACTCTCTTGAGAAAGAATCCAGCTCACAGTAGGTCTTCGGAGTTTATTTTGGCAAAATTCTTTAATTCTTCTGAAATCTGGAGGCATTGACTTTGTTGGGTTGCCTTCCACCTTTTCTCTGGGGCATTGGCGCCAGGGGTCACTCACCAAAGGCAAATCCTCTGACACGTATTGAGATGGAGAATAACGTGGAGAAGTCTGGCTCCCTAAGAAAGAATGTTCCCTGGGGCAGTTACTGAGCAGTGCAGCTCCCAGATCACCACAGAAGAGAGGGGTATGGATACACTTGACCCTTCTCCTCTAGATTTGGAGCCACGGGGTGTTGGGATGTACTGAGGACTCTCATTTTCCAGAGATTCCATCCTGTTGACTGCTCAGGCCAGCAGGATGATCATGGTGCTAGATATTGGTAGATTACGTGCCTAGAAAAGTGGTTTTTAACTTACATTTTAGACTTGACACTCAGCACCTTGGCCAAAGTCATTTAGCTACAGTGAAATGAAAGTGTCATTTGGTTCTTGGAACTCTGGGCCTGGCCTGCGGTCTGCCCTCCACAGTGAATGAGTCACTTGAACCCATGCTTCTCCTTAATATCCTGTAGCCTCTAGTGAATAAAATCTATGTGTGCATTTGCTCCACAGTAGTGCAAAGGGCAAAGGACAGCCATTGAGATTTGGGTTCACCCAGAAGGCTCGTTGCCTTGGAGATAGCCTCTATGTTTTGGGGAGGTCAGACCTTTATGGACCTCTGTCTGTTTGGGAGTGATAGAAGGTAGAGCAGCCCTTCATGCTGCTGCTTGTGGGAGAGTTTAGTGTTTGCTATGTCTCCCTGGGATGGAGATGCTGCAGAAAGAAGAAGAGAACAGCTTTGGAGCCATGTGGCCTTAACCTCTCTAAACTCTGCCCCATATAAGGGTAGTGACATCACTTACTACATGGTTGTTATGAGAGATCAGGTGGTTCCCACAGATCTCTCCTGAATGGAGAGAAGGATTCATGCTGCAAACCTTGAAAAGCATGCCCCCTCTTCCTGCTATCTTCATTGCTGCTTCTCTTATCCAGACAGGCAGCAAGCCCTACTCCATGTTCAAGCTGCAGCCATTTATAACTGTAAAAAGAAAATGCCAATCTTCTTTAATGTAGTGTTTTCTTGGATCTCTTGTAGGAGGTGCTTGAACTTGCTTTCTCCATCTTGTATGACTCAAACTGCCAACTGAACTTCATTGCTCCTGACAAGCATGAGGTAAGAGTCTCAGTGGGGTTGATTTATTACAGAATGTTATATTGTTTCTAGAAAAACAGCACAAGGAAAAGTACTGGAAAAGAAGAAAAATTTTTTTGAAGTCTGCCCAAAATAATCATGAACAAAGAGGAATCTTATTATCTTGAGGTAGACTAGAAACCTCTTTAAAAATTGCCAGTTATAACAGGTCCAACTTCTTAGTAGTTTGATTGATATTTCATGTGTGCTAGTCAGCTTTCCATTACTGGGACAAAATACTTGAGATAATCAACTTAACAAGCAAGAAAGGTTTATCTTGGCTCAGGGTTTGAGAGCTTTTAGGCTGTGGTTGGTTGAATCTATTATGATTTTGAATCCTCTGGTAAAGCAGAACATCATGGCAGGAAACTTATGAAAGAGAAAGCTCCTTACTTCATGGTGACTGGGAAGTAAGCAAGAGAAAAGGAAAGGTCCAGGGTCCCAATATCCCCTTGAAGGCAACTCCAAATGGCCTAACTGCCTTCAACTAGGCTCCATTTCTTACAGATTCTACCACTTTCCAATAGTACCACAGGCTGGTGCCACAGTCTGGCTGGGCACACAGTCACGAGCCACCACACAGCTTGTAGATTCAAACAGCAACTCTTTATTCCCGAACTCACACCAGCCGTCTACAAACACGTTCTGGGGAAATCCACGTTCTCTGCCCAAATCCACGTTCTCTGCCCAAATCCACACCCACTGGGCTTCTATCTCCAAAATATACTGTCTGAATCCCGTGAGAACTCAAGGGGAACTCAGGCAGCAGGATACGCCCTATTCCCAGGAGGAATAATCTTAAACCTTAAACCTGGAACCTAAACTGGGAACGCCCTAAACACGATTATCTTAAAACCGGGAACACCCTAATCTGCCTTGGTCCTTGAGCAAGGTCACCTACATTCAATGTCGCTGCAACATGTCAGCAACATGGGGTACGCTGGCAAGGAAATTGTCATACCTACTTGGCTAATGGCTCCCAGCAGGCTGGTACCAAACCTTTAACAAATGAGACTTTAGGGTACATTTAAGGTCCAAATTATAGCATAATGATAAAGAAACTGGATGTACAAATGCTTCAAACTTAGCAAAGGCATAATTGTTAATCCAGAGGAAGAAGCAGCCCTGGCTAGAGCTTTGGTTTTCATTGAATGTTTAGGTTTTTGGTCTGGATTTTCCCAAGATAAACTAGTCTCTATTCTTTAAAACATCTGATGAAGTAGGTTCTCTCCAAGTTTCTTCAAGCTATTTTAAGAGGGTTAGGGCTGTCTCTGCTGTTGGAATTTTATTTCCAAGATGCTTTTATTCCTTTTTGACATCTTGTTATATGTATAATTTGTTTCTCTTCTTGAAGCACACTGTCAGCTATATTTAAAAGGTTTAGCATAAATCTAGGAAAATGCATTTGTAAGACAAAGTAGCAGTTATGGTTGATTTAACTTTTTCTCTTGTAAACTGGAACCCAACATCATGCTTGAAAATTTTATTTTTAGACGATACCATTCAAGTTTTTGTTTTGCATGTCATTGCATAAACAGGTTTTAGAAAGGGAAGGGAACATTTTAGTGAAATCTGACTTTTGTTCCTCATTTCCCCTAGGAGATGTAGCTCATTTAGAAGGTCTTTAGTATCTGGTTTTCACTGGTTTGAAGCTTTTGAATAAAATCGTACATCCCAAAGAAAGAGGAAAGATTAGACACAAATCCTGCATTTAGAATGGTGCTTAAATATAATTCTGTGTCACTTGACATTTAGTTTGCAGAAGGGTAAGACGTTGTCTTCATCTTTCTGAAAATAGACACTGTGTCCTACTAGTTCTGTTTTTAAGTAAAAGAGTGGTTATACACAGGCCACCATATTCAAAATGTATAGAACATTATAGAAAACTACTCAGAATAGTAGAACGTCAGCTGTAATTTAAATCAATGCAAGGCTGTTTTCCCCTGTGTAAGTACATTAATTTCAGATAAGAATATATGCTCTAGGACTGCTAGATTTTTATTCCTGTCACTTCTTATAGAGGCAACGAGGACAGAGATAGCATATGCTTATGAATTCTTATAGCTTCTTCAAAACACTTGCATATTGATTACTTCATCTTATTTTCACAATCACTCCATAAAATGGAAAGTTCTATTACACATATTATTTATCAAATGAGGGGAGAAAGGTTTCCCAAACTGAAGACCTCAACAACAGAAAGGATAATAGTAATTATAACTAGCCTCAGTCATCCTGTGCCAGTCCCTATTACAGATTATAAATACTGATATAAACATATAGATATATAATTTTATGTGTGGATCACCTCAATCCTTATGTAATTCTATGAGAAACAAACTAATAGTATCCCTATTTTGTAAAAAAGACAAATGAGGCATACAGAGGTTAAGAAACTTGGGTTGGGGTTGTAGCTCAGTGATAGAGCACTTGCCTAGCACATGAGAGACACCAAGTTCAATCTTCAGCACCACACCACATTAAAAATAAACAAACAAACAAATAAATAAATAAATAAAAAAGGTATTGTGTTCATCCAAAAAAAAAAAAAAAAAAAAAAAAAAAAAAAAAAAACACTTCTCGAGATCACTCAAATAGTAAGTGATAGAGCTAGGATTTGAACCCTGGCAGTCTTTCTCCTGAAACCTTCCCATTAACCCCTACACTAGAGGGACAGAGCCAGAGTTGAGCTCAGTATTTCCTGCCAGTCCAAGCGACTCTTGTGGTAGTTTTTATATCATCATGCACAGTCAACTCTCAGACATCCACAGTTGTCTAACTTGCATTTTCTTTTATTCTTTTATACTTTGTTCAAATGAGAATCTAACTAAGATGCATACACTGCAGTTGGTTGCCAAGTTTTAGGTCTCTCTGAATCTTTAGTCCCTCTCTGTTTCTCCTTCTTTCACAATAATGTGCATGTGCTTCTCTCTTCCTTGCAAGTTACTTGTTGAAGATACCAGGTCATTACTCTTCTAATGTGGTCAATAGTCTAAGATTGTGCTGATTATAATTCTTTGTATTTGTTACTGTTGCTACTGCAATACACTACCACAGACTGTTAGTATCAAACAACACAAATTTATTATATTAGAATTCTGGAGGTTGAAAGTCAGATGTGCCTGAGGTACCATCAACATGGTACAGGCTGCATTCCTTTCTGGAGCCTCAGGGGAGAAACCAAATTATCATTCCTACTTCTGAATGCCTCTTGCATTCCTTGGCCTCCATCCATCTGCAGCAGTGACAGCTTGAGCCCTCTCATCAAATCAGCCTTCTCTTCTGTAGTCAAAGGCCCTCTGTCTCTCCCCTCTCTCTCAATTTAAGGACCCATGTGACTACATTGGACACAGGTGGAAAATCCAGTTTTCCAATAATCTGCTAATTTAAGGTCATCTGGTGGCAACCTTCATTCCCTGTGCCACATAACATTTTCATAGGGTTCAGGGAACAGGATGTGGATATCTTTGACAGGTAGATGTTGTTCTACCCTCCACAGACTGCAATGTCATTTTATATATTCTTCTCTTCCTAATATTGCCTATAAATTGGTGTTTTGAAGACCAACCAAAGTCAGGCTCAATTTTTAAGCAGTAGCAATAGTGTTTTCTACTTCTTGTCTTTCTTTTTTGAATATTGGCAGCTACTGATGGTCATTGCCTAGATCTTTGAATCCACTAGAGTTGCCAAAGGTTGATATCTCAATTCTGTCATTCTGTCTTCATTTATTAGTGGGATATTGAAAGAGAAACTGGCCTCATCAACTATTTGGTTACCCTAAAGTTAGGGTTTAAACATATCTGTGTCAATATATTGCAGTTATTGCCAATGTTAGCATCCAAATTATCCTATCTGGGGCAAGTAGGTACACTCATCAAGATGGCTTATGGATACTAATGACATGACCCTGTGTTTTTGATAATGTTCTGCATTCTGCTATGACAAGATACACCAGGTTCATCTTTCCTGCCTTTTCTCTCTAAACCCTTGGTTACTTGTGATAGGAAATGGTAGCTGTGAGAACCTGGACATGAGGTGTGATTGTTAACACTTGATCATTATCTTTAGGTCTTTGGGGGAACATAACTAGAAGTTATGATTTTTTTGAGATAACATATACCATGAGTTGATACTAATAATTCCAACTCAAAGTAAGTATTACAGGATTTCTAATTGATTGTTCAACATAATTTTTAAATAAAATGTTCTTTGTAGGTCACTTCTCAAAAAAATGTCCCTCTCGGTTAATATGCACCAGGAGTCTGGCCAGGGCTGGCAAAGTTATGTATAGGAGCAGGATTGGGGGATTCCCCATGAAATGGTGTCAGAGCTGGTAGTGAACTTTGAGAGCATGGTATTCGGTGGTACCCATATGTGGATATTCATCAGAATTATCTAGGAAGCTTTTACAGATAAAATTTCCTCATCCAAGAACAAAAAAAAAATCAGGATCTCCAGGGTAGAAACTAGGTATCTATTTCTATCAAGGTTATTTGTGAAGAAACAGATGGTTAGACATGTTCAGAATCTGGCTGAGGTATTCATGAGGACACTAATGCTTCCAGAAATCCCTTAGCACTAAACCTATGTTTAGATGGGTTAAATGCTTTGGCTGAGATCACATAGCCAAGGCAGAACCAAAGTCCAACAGTTCACTGTGGCACTCCTCACACAGGGGGTGCATTTCAACCCCCCAAAAAACGATGCCATTGGCGTGTATCATGGCAGATTTCCATCCCATCACAGTGACTTAAGACTTATATAATGCCACCAGTCTTTTAATGCTATGTTGAGATATGCTTGAATATTCTGGGCTATAATTCTTGAATATTCTGTGGCCCAGGTAGCCACAATCCAAGGATAGACTTAAGCAGGATCTGAAATTGCAACTTGACCCAATAAAGCATGGAAAGAACTGAATCTAGAGTGTATGCTAGAAGAAAGACCAGTGAAGCAGGAAGCAGAGCAAATGCTATCATAGAGCCCTGTGTAGGACCAGGGACAACCTACCTGGTAGGGAAGCACAGTATCCAAATACAGGCAGTTTTCTGAGATGCTGGCAACAGAAGTTGACTCCTTCTCCAAGTATCATGGTCCTCTTTCCCATCTCCCATTGAGATCACTCAATCATTTTAGCCATGTTGGCCACCAGACACTGGGCAGCCAAAAGCTGTTTCCTTACCCTTTCACTGAGAAACACAGGTAAGAACATCTTTGTAGAGTGGAATGGAGCTGGCATTGTGCATGCTAGGAATCAGGTCAGGCAGACATTAGCTAGTGGACTAGGAATGATGATTGGAGTCAAGAAAGAAGCAAGCTTGGCATGATGCTGAGTCCAGGAGTGTTAGAATATATATATCCCACCATACCTTAAAGCCAGGCATGCACTGGTAGGTTATTAGCAATACTGTGCTGCACAACCGTGGAGAACTCAGACCCTCTGCTGCTCCCTAGGGACACATTTCTACATGGAAGAGCAAAGACTCTGGAGTCAGGTTGCCTGATTTCCAATTCCACCCACTCCACTTACTATCCTTTTACTTAATTTCTCTGCCTCAGCTCTCTAACTTATAAAATAGAGATGACAACAGAAATGTCCAATTTGTAGAGAGGCAGCAGCAAATATTAAATGGCAGTAGCAGAAAGCTCTTAGGGCAGAGCCTAGTAATGTTGAGTATTCCCTAGGTGTTAGCTGTTTGCACTGCTCTTGTAATTGCCAGCAATCGTGATCACCATTGCCTCCTTTCCCTGCCAGTACTGTATCTGGACGGATGGGCTGAATGCGCTGCTTGGGAAAGACATGATGAGCGACCTGACACGGAATGACCTGGACACCCTGCTCAGCATGGAAATTAAGCTCCGCCTCCTGGACCTGGAAAACATCCAGATCCCTGACGCACCTCCACCCATCCCCAAGGAACCCAGCAACTATGACTTCGTCTATGACTGTAACTGAAGTGGCCGGGCCCAGACAAGCCCCCCCCCCCCTCCCAAACTGGAAAATCTAGCTAACAGGAGAGAGGAAGGAAAACATAACTCGTGCTTTGGAATCATCTTTTGGTAAAGGGAAGCTGCAGGTCACCCTCTCTTTGGCGTCACCTCTAACCCCAACAATTTTTGGCCCCTCCCACCTCCTTGGATCTGTTTCTGGACTCGCTGCTTTAGATCACTGCCCATTGCTGCAGTTCACTGGTGGGACAATAGCCAAAAGCCACTGCTGGCAAGAGAGCCATCGGGCATTTCCATCCTAATCCCTGGAAGGCAAAGTCCTTCCTTCCTAGAGTAGGAAAGCCAGCAGCCCCAGACCACAAGGAATGAATACCCGGTGGCCTGTGCCTGGAAGAAATGGCGCAGCTACCTGATGGGAAGACAAACGCCATGCTCTCCTTTCCCTTCTCTCGAGGGTCAGCTCATGTCACCAGGTTCATTTGAATTGAGATCTGCTTTGAGATCTCTCTCCCCGTCTCCTGACTTGGCCTTGCCCTGGTCCTTTTGGGTCCCAAGGGCAGCGCCAGTATGCTCATAGTAAGCCTCGCCAGCACTGGGTCTCCCAAACAGTCCACAGACCCCACGCCCACTCCGCATCTGCACTGTGACCGTGACCAGCCTCCCGCTGCCCTCTGCGCTAGCTAGTCTTGGGCTTCCTCTCCCTGCCCCAGCCCAGACCTGCCTTCCTCATTTCCACACATGCTCCCAGCCTCTTAGCTGAAAGCACAAATGAAATCAGTAGTTACACTCCATCTCTAATAGACTAAACCTAAATGCCTCTATGACGGGCTGTCAATATCCGAGGGTTTCGTGTCACCTTCTCCTGGGGAACCTGCTGCAACACAGGTTTTCCATGGGATGGTCAAGCTGTCAGACATCCAAGTTTACATCGTTGTAATTATTACAGGTATTTACAATTTGCAAGGTTTTTTTTTTTTTTTTTTTTGCTTTGTTTTTGTACAAAAGAGTCTAACATTTTTTGCCAAACAGATATATATTTAATGAAAAGAAGAGATACATAAATGTGTGTACTTTCCAGGTTTTTTTTAATTATTTTAATCCCAAACATCCTCCTGAGAATAACATTCCCTTAAACATGCTGTGGAATAAAATTAATCATGATGAGTTGGGAGCTGGTGTTTTGATTTGGTAACTTGGGTTTGGTCTCCTTGGTCATTGGCATCATCTGGGAGCTTGTTAGAAATGCAAAACCTGGGACCTCACCCCACACCTTCTGAGTCGGTGCTTTGTGTGCACATTTTGTTTTTAGTTTGGGAAGCACTGGTCTAAAGGACCCTCTTCCACTGATAGGCTATTGTAGGCGCTGAGCATCCGTTAAGGATGTTACTTCTAGGAAGATCATCTTAACTCACCTAGAAAAAGAGACTTGCTGTGTAAAAATCTGATCTACTCATTTTACATTGTTGCCTCCTGACCACAATTTTTTTTCCTTTACTATTATAACTTTAAAATGGATCAAATTAAATAGATCCCAACTTTTAGGGAATATATTTAGCAATAAAAAAGAATACAAACCCACAGACCTAAAATAAGTCAGAACTAAAATCTAACTGTGAATTAATAAATTACAGGTCAGAGCACAGCCTCATATTATCATAGTTTAGTTCCACTAGAAACATCATCTGGATCGTAAACTCCATGAACTTAAAGGACTGACCCAAGAGTCCAAGCATGCAGAACTCGGCATAGGCAGCACAAGCCACTGAACTCACAGCACAAGCTTCTTTTGACTGCTCTTCACTGCCATCAGGATGTGCAATTACACACTGACCTGGGGTTGAGATGACATGGTCCAGAGCACTCCATAAATTGCAGGAAAAAGTCCCTTGTAATTCGTAGTCATTCAAACAGGGTCAATCTTCCCATCAAAGCACTCACACCCTTGTGTCAAGTCAACAACTGTTCTTATCATTAAACTTTCCGTTATTGACATATGTGTCCTTTGTGTTGAAAATATCATTGTTCTAAGCTTGGGCCAGTGGTGCAATGGATAACACGTCTGACTACGGATCAGAAAATATCATTGTTCTAACCAGCATCATGATAAAATAAACATTAGGTAAAAACAAAAGAGTCATAACATTTTTTATTTAGAGCATTTAAGAGCCCATCCATGAAAAAAAGAGAATTCCCTGTACCAAGATATATGAGTTTAAGAGAATGATTTAGCCTGTGACTCTGGCTGGAAAGAATTGACCTCTCCCCTGGTCTTCTGGTATTCCTACTTTCATTTATTAAATAAAAGGAACACTTTCAGTGCTTTTTCTTTCCCTTTTTTTTTTTGACACATAGTTACATATTTGAGATACAATATGACATTTTAATTAGTGTATACACATTAGGTAACAGTCCAGGGTAATTAGAATATCCATTGCCTTAAACTTATCATTTCTTTAGGTCATCATCACATTACATTAAAATTCCTCTCTTCTAGCTCTCTTGAGATGGTCAGTGCATTTTTGCTAACTATATTCACCTATGCTGTAGAACACTAGAACTTATTCCTCCAGCCTAATTGTAACATTGTAGCCATCGACCAATCTCTCTCCATCCTTCCTGCACACTCCCCAATCTCTGGTAACCACTCCTGTACTCTCAACATCAATGAGATCTTTTTTTTTTTTTTAGATTCTGCATGAGTGAGATCATATGGTGTTTGTCTCTCTGTGCTTGATTTATTTCACTTAACATGAGTCCTCCAGTTCCATCTATATTGCTGCAAATGATAGAATTTCATCCTTTCATGGCTGTATAGTATTTCATTGTGTATATATACCATATTTTCTTTACCTATTCATCTGTTGATGGATTTTTTTAATGTCATCAGTTGTTTATTTCAGTTTTAATAAAAATATTTATTGAAATCAGTTATTCCAATCCTTATCTTAAAATTAAATGAATAATATACAATTCTTGAAATACTAATTTAAATCATTGTTATATGAATTTTGCTAATTACAATTTTTACAAGAAAATGTGGTGAGGGTGTTAAAGAAAGAGGAATGTTTATGCTAGTCTATACCTCCAGAGGAGGGGGGGAAAGAAGGAAAAAAAAAAAAAAAAAAAAACCCTCACTGAGTTACTGAGTTTAAAGTAGTCAAAATTACTTTTGTTTTATGCTCACCAAGGCCCAATTCAGAGTTCAATGATTCCCTATTAGATTTATAGTTTAACTAATTTCTGTACTTGTTGATGGACTTTTAAGTTGATTCCATATACTTGCTATTGTGGTTGGTGCTACCATAAATATGGGAGTGGAGGTATCTCTAACATGCTGATTTTGTCTCCTTTGGGAATATACCCAAGACTGTTAAATCATTTTCCTACCTTTCTATAGACTGGTGTGATCCTAAGAGTGTGTTGACATTGTTCTTTATTCCTTCATTTTGTGGCAGTGAGGTGAAGGGTTGCTGCCCGATCTGAACACCTCAACTTCTCTCCTGAGGCACCCAAAGCTTTTTTTTTGCACACAGTGAGCACACCTCCTCACGTTGAGCCCTTGCTTCCCACAGTTCTCTAAGCCCAAGCAAATCAGCCACATCCAAGGCAGAAGTGAAACAGGAAACCTGATTTTGTCATTAAGTCTAAGTCATGTTCTCCAACTTGGCTTTACCTAAAAATAAAACTGATAATTTAATTTGAATCTGCTGATATTTTACTTCTTATCTTACTCTCATTCAGAACTCATAGGAGGAAGGGTAATTAATTGGGTCTTTTGACCCCTGTGACTACTTTTTTTTTTTTTTTTTTTTTGGCCAGGGAGGAATACCAGGGCTTGAACTCAGGGCACTCAACCACTGAGCCACCTGCCCAGCCCTACTTTGTATTTTATTTAGAGACAGGGTCTCCCTGAGTTGCTTAGCACCTCACTTTTGCTGAGGTTGGGCTTTGAACTTGTGATCCTCCTGCCTCAGCCTCTGGAGCTGCTGAGATTACAGGTGGGCACCGCCACACCAGGCTCCCTGTGAATAATTTTAAGGGCAATGTGTCAGTCAGCTTTTTGTCACTGTGACCAAAATAAACAATAAAAACAACTTAGAGGAGAGAAAATTTATTTTGGCTCATGGTTTTAGAGTGGGGGTCCGTGGTTGGCGGAGTCTGTTGCTCTGGGCCCAAGGTGAGTCAGAACATCATGGTGGAAGGGCTTGGTAGAGGAGCACTGCTCCATTCATGGCAGCCAGGAAGCACAGAAGGCAAGGGAAGGGGTCACAGGGAAATGAATCTTCCAGGGCATACCCCAGTGACCCAGCTCCTCTAGCCACAACTCCCCTACCTACAGTTACCACCCAGACAGTCTATCAAATTAGGATGAACTGATAAGGTTACAGCTGTCAAGAATCTAATCATTTCACCTCTGAATATTCCTTCATTAACACAGGAGCTTTGCAGGGACAGCTTATATCCCAACCCCAACAAGCAGGGAAAGCTAATGGTTACTGCAGAATAAAAAGTACAAGTCTGAATGTTTCCTTGATCTACTTGCAAGTCCATTCTAAACCATCTTCCAATAATCAACTCAAGCACGCTCTGCCTACCTGCACTAATAATGAAAGTTGGTAAGCCTGTGACATACAAAACTCTCATCTATTTTGTTTGAATTATAAAAATATTTTACACTTAACATAAACCTTTAAGGAAACAAAAACATTCACAACCAAAAGCATTCTTAAAATTCAGGCTCTAGGAATACAACAAGAACATAATTTGTACCATTGGTGAAATGGCGATGAAGTCATTTACTCAAATACCAAACCAAAAAGTTGCAGCCGAGCATGGTAGATGGTATTATATAAGAATATTCAAGGAAGAGCAGGGGAAAGGAGGTGGTGACCCCCACTTTCAAAAGTGGGGTAAAGAGAAAATGAGAGGAGTGGAGAATTCAGTTAGGTCTTAGAAGGGAGAAGATGTTTTCCAGTTCATCAAGAGAGGAACCTTCCAAGTGGAGCAAAGAGTACCAACAGAGCTTGGTGTTTCCTGCAGCCACTCAGGAAACTTGAACCATTCCATGTAGCTGGTGAAGGATGCATGGGAGAGAGCAAAGGGGCACGATACGTGCAAGGAAAATGGCCCAGATCATGACGACTCTGACAGAGTTGGCTAGAGACTTTTACTTCAGGGAAAAGGAGAGTGCATTAAGAGGAGTCATGTTGTCAAACCCGCCATTCAGAAATATCACAAAACAGGCATGTGAGGGCAAGGATTAGAGGGGGAGAAAACTGGAAGCAGAGATATTAGCCAAGAGATTATTGAAATAGCCCCAAACCAGAACCACTGGGCCCCAGACTTTGGTATCAGCAATGGGGAGAGGAAGGGGGGCAAAGTTATTATTAAAAAGCAGAATGGGCTGGAAGCAGAGACGTAATTAAGCAGGGGATGGGGGGGGTGGGGAACAATGCAGATAGCACTGGAGCTTCTGGAATGGGTGAATAGGCAGAATGAGATAACAGGGCTGTTACCTACATTCTGCAAGAGAGGAGGAGCACGAGATTTTAGGAAATGATAATGAAATCAGATAATGAGGTAGTAGGCATTTGTTGGATTCCTCCAAACAGAAAAATAAGATCTGGGGTGAGTCATTTAACCACGTGAGCCTCTTATTTCATTTATGAAATGGAAATCTCATTACTTCAGGGGGGCTGTACATGAGATGCCTGGAAACTGTCAGTGCCCAGAAAGTAAGTCCCCTCCCTTCCCTTCCTGTCCCTACTCCTTCCTTCAGTCTCTGTCTTTCTTTGGTTACCCAGGGTGACTTAAGCATAGGATTTTAGCACAGTTGAACTAAACCAGACATTTCAACCCATTCAGCCTGTTTTATGAGAAAGAAAAATAAGAGAGGGAGTAGAAGAAGGGAACAGTTAAGCATCATAACATGCCTCTTGAATTAAGGATGTGAGGTAATGCGGTAAAACCACAATTTAAAATACATTCAGGAGGGAAGCATGTGGCATAATCCTATATGAATACATAATTACACCCTAAATCTTTTTTCTAAGTAATTACATATTTTCTGACTGTATATAAGTAAAGTAAACACATCAAGTTAAGTGCTTTAAAAAGAATTTCAGAAAAATAACCAGCACATGCTCAGATAAAGGAGGGAAATAATTCCATGAGAAACATCATATAAAGATAGTTGCTCCACTTGAGTGTTAAACTTAAATCTGGGCTTCCTGGAAACCTATGTAAATAAGAAAGTAAATTGGACTATATAGCTCTTATTTTTTTAAAAAAAGTTTCATTCTCTCACAAGAAAATATTCTTTCTTAGGCTCCCAATGTTGAAGAAGGTAAGCTATTAAAAGTACTTACCTCCTTTGTTAGCTGTCTCTTAGAAGGTGCTCTTTGTTGTTCTGTTTTGCAGAATGAAGGATGTTACCCCTCAGCCCTTCAAGTGATTAAAAAAACTTTTAAAAAGGGCTCCTGAGAAGGAGACATTCGAGTCCTGGATTGAATTTAGGGACAAAGGGATTCAAGAATCAGAAATCAGAAGAGAAGTCTGAAAGGACTGAGCAGAGAAATGTTCAGAAATGCACAGGGTGTCTCCAGGGCTGGAAGACAGGTACTGAGCAAAGAGAGAACAGGGGCTGGAGAACAACAGAACAGCAAGAAGGGGACATTCATTGGACACTCACTATGCACTAGGCAAAGTGCCCAGAACACAAAAGTAATAAGAAATGGACTGCCTTCAAGGAACTGAAGACAGATCAATGCTAAAAGGACCACAGTGCACAGATACTTGTCACACAGAGCAGAAGGTGACTGCTCTGTCTGGATGACATAAGGACCGAAGGACTTGACAGGATGAGCAGGAACCGCCCGTCAGGGGCTGAGGAAAGAAGGCTTCTGGTGGGCATGGCCATGCTCAATCACCACCTATCCTTGGAGGCTCAGTTTGGTCATCCCTTTTCCTGGAAGGTATTTCCTGGACATCAAAA